TTGAAACCTCAAGAGAAATCTATATGTATGTATGTTGGTGGGCTCTCAGACCAAGTTATTAAGGTAGAAATTTTACTTCATAGGAAAATCCAGGTGGAAATTTCTTAAAGCAACTACTACATCTGACCTCTTCTCTGGGGCTATTTTACTAGCTATAAGACCAAGATTTGCATACATAGATATAAACATATCGTGTACTTCAAGGAGGTATTACTATTATATATATGTACTGTGAACTAATTTTTCTGGGTGAAGCAAGCTAGAAAAGTTGCTCCTTGAGCCAGCGTACCCCATAGGCTTTGTGTACCCTTTAACTTACATTGACAGTCCTCTGCCGAAGCAGACCCATTCTTTGAGGGTTCCTACCTGCTAGCTGAGACCAGTGAGGATAAAGCTTTGGCCGTGAGGCTTTGAGCTGTCCTGCTTTTAAGAAACAAGGAATATTTCTGCAGTGTGTATTGTAATAGTAGCAGCTGAACAGCCCAGGAGAGTTCCAGAAATGAAATATTTCTGTGCTCCAAATGGTTATCACATGCTGTGTTGATGTCAGTGAAATGCAGAGGATGAGCCTGGCTCCCCTTTAACCCTAACTTTCTATGGTCCTTTCATTTTGACACTAATTTCAGGCATGAACCTTGGCACTGAGCTACAGTGTGTAATTGTTGGTATCTTGCTGCCACCTGGGTGCACAATGAGAGTAGCAAATGGAGAACAATATTTAGCCCCTGTGATTTGCCATAAGAACACACCACATGCAGTTGGAAAGGGAAATATTTAATCAGCCGATTTTTCTCAATGCAGTCCCCATCAGTTGAGTCGGTTGAAGAATTTTTTTTCTCTCTGTATTAACTGCTTGTTTTGTACCTGTGAAGATAAATCCTTTGGCTCTCTCTTAAATTCATGTCATACAAATTTTGGGACATTGCATATTTATTTGAATGTACAAACATAAAAAGGGTTGTTTTTAATGAGCTAAGTTAATAACTCATTTGGTCAAAAGATTTTTTTTTTAAAAAAAGTTCCCTGAATCCTCTGTTTCGTTGGTTGGCTGTGGGCTTAGTATGAAAAGGCTGTAAGTGACGCACGAATAATAACATTCCATTTTTAGGCATGTAGTATGATGATGCTGTTGATCTTTAAAAGAAATTCCATTTGGTGACATTTACAGAAATAGTTACATGTTAGCAGCTTTTAATTTTAATTTAAGAAAAATATTGAGAATGGTATAACTTCTAAGTGGCAAGGAAGTCATCTAGAAGGTGTGTGCTTATGTAAAGGAAGCAGGAGACATGCATTGACTCTCATCAGATGTTGTGCTTATATTGAGTATAGAGAAACAGTTTTGACAAGTTGGAAAATGGTATGGAATAGAATTTAACTGTATAAATAGGCATATCATCTTAAAGATGAGATTTTTTTTTTTAAAGTCTGGTAATTTAAAAAAAGTGCTAGAAAGATTTGAATCCAGAGTTTAGTAGTGCTCACTTTAATCTTGCTAATTCAGTGCAATACAGTCCAATCTGCTTCAATTCACTCAGTTACTCTAATATTTATGAACATTTTAAACTCCTTCAGTCAATTATCTCTTTGGTAGTATTATTTCATCTTTTGGTGGGGCAAATGCAATAAGATATATGGGTACCTACGGCAAAGAATTTCTGGTTCTTTTCCACAAAACAAAGTGTTTTAAAACACTCAGAATTTCAGCATGGTTTGGGGAATTTTATTTTTTCCATACCAAATTGGCTAAAAGTTGGTAGTTTTAACTAAGATGGTATCTCTGACCCAAGAATCATGATTATTGTCATAAATTTGGGATGATTTTCAATCATTCATTCACTCAATCAGTCAATTGACCCTTTTTTCCCCTTAATTATCTCATCTGAGCAGTGTGGCTAAAGGCACTGTGAAGGATTTTATAAAAGGAGAAAATATGATCTTTCCCTCATCAACTATAATATAATTGGAGAGAAAAAAACCTTAAAGAGCTAATTGAATAATATAATGACATTACTCTTAGCAATCATACTTTAGTGCCGTGAAGGGAAAAGCTATTTCCTCACAGGTAGAAGGCAGTTTTAACTATCACATATAGATTTTAGGCTCAGGATATTGGTTTAGATTAGTTGTTGTGAGAACCATAGGGAAAATATTCAGAATAATGGCCAGTTCTTGAAAATGGATTTTAGAATTTTCAATTGATTTTTATCAGCAAAACACAAGATTTTCATTGCATGAGAACCTTTTAAATGATTAACTATGCCATTCTGTTAATAAAATTTAATGGTCCCAAACTTCCAAATACTTTATTGATAATTCATAATAAAATGTGTGTGTGTATTGGGGGGCAGGGAGTCAGTAGAATTTACTGTTGCCTTAATTGTACATCACAATATTCTTCCAAAATTTGAGCATAAATGTAAATTGAAATGTTTTAAAAATAGTATAAATCATTGCTTATGTGTCTATCTTTTGAAATATTTCAACTTCCTCGCTATCTTGAGAAGACAGGCTAGCACATTCTATGTGATGGAAAACTTTTCAAAGCTGTCTTTAACATCCCTGGATGTGTAAAGCCCTGCCCATAGCTTCACTCTCTGGCAGAAATATTATGCCATTTACCCACAGGGATAAAAACACTATTCCAAATAAAACCTAACATTAAGTAAAGAGCTTTAGGTTTGGTTCAGTTCTCACTTTCTCTGTCAAATATCAAATTTTATGATTTTTAAGGAAAAACAACTTCGTATGCACATTGATTATGATTTTCCAGGGAAACCATAGAGTAGCCAGCATCACCCCCCCCAAAAAAAAAGTTGCAAAACTTCACTTAAAAAGTCTTGAATTTGCCCTTAGTTACCTGTGAAAAGCAAAAGCCCAGTAACGACTTAATTATTCTATTCTCTTCTCTTGTGGAGTTTGTATTTTGTAGGTCTGTAGAGAAGAGTGTTGGCTATTTCTGCCTTCTCTGCTCAGGGAAGGGAAGAATTGGATAGAAAGGTGCACACCCATTCCTAGCGGACGTCTCCTATAGGCAGCGTGTGGCCTTTTCCACACAAGGGAAGACAGATGTCCTTTTATAGGGGGCCAGGTAGGGTGTTGCAAAGGGCTAATTATCCCCGGTAGCCTATTATGTGAAGGGACCTGTACTAGACACATGGTGGAGGGAATCAGAAAGAAGGATATTTAATGAGGCCCGCATCAAGAACAGACAGCAGCGTCTCCATGTAATATGTGGCAGCTCTAGATTCGCAGTGTCTTTGGGAAGCAAGGTTCATGTAAACAGAAAATGACAGCAGAGACACTACACACCTTCTCCCTGTGACTTGCGATTGCCTTTGGTGCTCCGAATAAGGAGCTCCTCTCACTGCTGTCTGCTCTGAGCTGCGTTTCGTTTTGATCGCCATTTGCAGGAGGCACCTTTGAACTCCATGCGATGTAAAAGGTATGGTTGAGAAAGTCTTTAAGGAAATTTCTTCTTCTCCTCCCACTCCCCACTGGCTGATTTGGAACATGAAGATTTGAGACTTAGAGACATTACTTCTGACCTACCTTTTAAAATACACATTTAGACTCAAACCATGTGAAGAAAAAAAGAAACAAATAATAGTATTTTAAAAAAAATACCTTGAGAAAGCCAAAGTATTATACATTGTGGAAATATGATATATGGTTAAATTCAGGGATCAGGAGAGATGAAAGAAAATAATTGGAAAAAAAATCAAGTTTTTATTGAATTTCAGATTGACCTAGTCTCAGTTTCACTTTCACTTGCTAGATCATAATGTCTAATGTCTTCTTTGAATTTAATTTTGGTGCCATAGCTCTAAAGTAAGTATGTTGAGATTAGGCAACCTCACCTTGTTAACTCTCAGGAGATGGCATACCTCTTCCGTACGTCTGCAGGGTACTCAGGAATGACAGTGTGACTTTGGCATAAATTACTCATCACCATCTAGGTCTTTCCCCCAATAATATAGACAAAGTATTTTGATTAATGATGCTTTCAGTGACAATTACAACTTCTTAGGCTTCATCTTGAAATATTTAAATATGAAATCTAAATTATAGCACTACATCAATCAATGTCCAGCAGCACAACGTGATTTTCTTGCACCTCTGGTGAATCCATGTCATGTCGGTCATCAGTGAGTTTCTGTGTCTTAGGTGCATGCTCATTTTTGTAGGATACATTGGTCATGGTTTCAGCCATTTTTTACATGGGAGTTTAGTGTCTTATGATTTGAGGGCTTTGAATGGTTTTTGAAAGTCTAATATTCTAATAGTTGAGCACACACTTTGAAGAGAGGGTTATTAGAATATAGGCATCTTTTGTGATGGCATTTGGAGGATTTTCTCAGCTGACGTCTCCTTTTCATTTCCACTTTGGGGCTCGAAGAGAAGCAGCAACCTTTGTGGTAGGAAGGGTATAGGCTTTGGAACAAAACCAAATTAGATTAAAATTCCAGACCCACTACTGCTTTCGACCAATTGCTTAGCATCTTTGAAACACAGTTTCTTCCTTTGTAAAGTGTAGATTATAATAGCTACCTTACTAATATTCTTGACCATTTCTCACATGTCAGGCATCATTCCCACATAGGCTATAAGGCAAGCATATTATTATTCACAGTTTACAAATTACTATACAGAGGTTTGGAGAGGTAAAAAACACCCACCCAAGAACACACATAGTCATTAAGTAGTGAGTTTGCTTGTTGGTTCTTTTATTTCAGTAGAATTTTTTTTTAGGAAAGGGTCACAAGGTATTTATATAATAAATTTAGGTAGTTTCCAAAATGTCATTTAGTTTAAGCCCTTGAGTATGGAATTAGAGTAATAATACTACAGTAGTAATACTATAGTATAATAGTAATACTACAGTGTTAAAACTATGATTCTATTTTACCAATGTAGCCACATTATATACCGATACTATTTGAGAGTGTGCTTCTAAGTGGAGGGCTATATGCTCTGAGATACTATTTGAGAGTGGGCTATATGCTCTGAGAGCTGTTTTATGCTTTTATTTTTGAAGTTGTTGCTGGTACTCTCATCTTGTTGAGCACAATTCCTTTTCAGTAAAGATTCTGGATACATGTCTGTTGCATGGAATTGAATGCTAGTCTACAGGCAATTTTTATACCTTAGATCAAGAGAGGATGCCATTTGCAGGAGGGCTTGACACTTTTAGGGAGTCATTTCATGGCCTAAAAGAATGTTATATGTGTGATTGTATGACTTTCGATAAAGAATAAAAAAACAGGAATGATTTGTTTGGAATTTAAAACCTCCCTTCTACTGTGACTTTATCTGCTGCCCATTTGCAGGACTCTGATAACTTCAGCTTCTTCTCCTACTTCATCTGCAGGCTCTTGAAGTCTGTGGGATGCCCAAGTGTGTACAGAAACACGGAAATAGCACAGTCCCTTTGGTTAAGAATAACATGTCAGTTTTCTTTTCTTGCTTTTGTGTGCTCTCTGGAGCTTACCCATGCATGATGTTCCAGTTGACTTCAAAGGCAAGTCTATGGTTGGATTAGCTCCACAGGACAGAAAGCAAGGTAAGAAATAGGCTTAGTGCTTTCAAGGCCCACTGGGGAGCTGATAGAGCCAAGCTATGTGGCTTCCAAAATAATTTGTTCATTCATGTCCTCATGGAGGAACAGGTAAATTTGCATAATCCTTTCTGTTTTATTGTTACCATTAAAATTTCTACATTTTCAAAATGATGACTGGACAGTGCCCAAAAAGGTTGATTTATAGTTATATAATTCCTGCACTTGAGGCGTTTAAAATCTAATAAAGGAGATATAGATATAATAAATTTAGAGTGAGAAAATACTACTAAAGTCATGAAGACATGAAATATTCACGTTGCAGGGTAATTTTAGGTATTAAAAAAGGGATGGGGTAGAGAATGGTGTGTACTTGAATTGCAACTGTACTAAATTGCAATTGTACTAAAATTGCAACTGAGGGACTTTTGCTTTCCAGATATTGCCTGCAAAGGTGGACTTCTTACAGAAAGTTAGAGCCAGGCATTACTGAGGGAAGGAAGAGAGAAGAGGGGGTGAGCTGAAGGCAATATTGTAAACTCGGGGCGCACACTGAGAGGAGGTTTAGATATAATTGTACAAAAGAAAATAACATCAAAAAATCCAACACCATAGAAGGAGGGTTCAGAAGGAGTCAGGGGTAGAGAGAAATTACAAGTCGTTTGAACGGTTTGCTTCTCTGATGGAAAAGTGACACGTCGCGCAGGACCGAGGGAGGATACAGGGTCCCAGCAAACCCTAGAAAGGGGACCAAACACGCTTATTGCCTATTTTTTCTTTTGTCTCTCAAATGATGAAGAAAGGGAATGAGCTTACTTCTTTGTACTTTGATTGATTCCGTTTTATCTCCAGGATCACAAGTATGTGTTACTCACACTTATTTAAAGCTAAGGGCACTTTTTAAACTCCCTGGCCCCCACACACCAGGGTTCTTCGAGGTGATTTTATTCAGCGTGGTCTAGGGACACACCACAGAGAGAGACTGCAGTCTGTGTGGTGACCAGCTTCGAGTCGGCACGACTGAACCTCAGAGTGCGTCCCGACTGCGGTTATGTTCTAGTGAATACAGCAGAAGCAGAAATGAATCATCTGTCTCCAGAAATTGTCTTTCTGACTTTGCTTTTGGAGACAGTGGCATGTGTACTAAGACTGGAACAATCCTGCTTTGATTTGTTACCAAACACTTGGTATTGGACTTTGAAAGGGAAGAAAAATATTGTGTGACTCAAATGAGCTTTTCATTCGAAAAAGAAAAGGCTTTTTGTGTAGCTATCTTTTCTAATTATTATCAGCACTTATTTCTCTCCTAAGACGTACACCATAATTTTATGACCTGGGAACTGCTCAATATTTGTTTCAGTATTCACCAAACATTTTGATTTCATTTCCTGCATCTTAGAAAGTATAACTGGATTATCTGGTGTTGTTTTCTCTTCTCTGGAAATTCCAGGAGAGGAAACCATCAAGTGGAAACACCTCATTTCATAGTTATAATGAGCTGAACTTGGGGAAGGGACTTGTTTAAGGTCACACAGCTAGGTAGTGACAGAGCCAGGAAAAACTCAAATCTATTCGTACCCAGATGAGCCTCTTTTAACTACACGGCACTGTCCTTACAAGTGTATCAAACTGTAAACTACAGACAAATACTTGCCATTCCCCAATAAATCAGATCTCATGTTGGATGTTTTATAATGTGCTGCACATCTATTGCAAAAAACATGGTTATACATTAAGTATAAGCATTCTGATAATGACTGACAGGGCTTAAATAGGCGTGAAAGAAGAGATTTTTAAAAAGAGGGTTCTTATTTAAGAAATCACCTTTTTCCTGATTTCCTTAGGAGATTTAATAAGAAAACAATGCATCTGCCTTCATCGTATTCCATGTTTTGCTTGCCAAAGAGCGGCCATCCTAGGACCGGGATGAATTGCCCAGAAAGTTTCTCAAATGTGAATGTGGTAGGAGAACAGAAAGGATGGCTGTGGTCAGGGTGGCACTCAGACCCTGACGGTCATGGGTTCAAGTGCATCCCACGTTGCTCCTGTCCTGAATGTCCCGTCCATGGTTCTGGTTCTTCTCCATCGTCATTTTGCTCTCTCTCCTCCCCACTCATTCAAACCTCTTGAACCTTTGGTGTATGTGTCCTTTGCTTTACAATCCCTAGCACCTAGTGTCTGCTCTTCATGACCGACGAATTTATGGTTCCTGAATCTCTAAATCTGGTGGGTTCCTTGGTTCTTTCCTAGATCTATGTGTGCACTTGACCTCCCTGATCACTCCCACTTCTGCGAGTTCCCTGCCCTCCTGGCACCACACCTTCCAGATGGTCTGCTAATTATTCCTTCTCTGCCTCTTTTCATGGATTTCTCTCCTTCCTATTCCGTTCATCCTCAGCCCACTGCTCCTGTCGCTCCGCACACTCCCCCAGAGCACTCTCCTTCACTGTCATGATTTGCAGCTACTTGTACATTTTATATGTAGTTCAAGTCCCCGATCTGCAATTTAGATTCGAACATTTAGCTGCTTGCTGTATCTGTTTAGCACCCTGCAACCCATGTGCAAACTGACCTCGTGACCATTCCCCTGAACCTGATTTCCCTTTCTGTGTTCTCTGGCTCATTTTGTGGCACTGCTGGGAGTCATTATTGGCTTCTCTCTTCCCACTTTTGTTGTTTTCCACATCAAACCCATTACCAGGACCTGATGATTTTCCATCCTAAGTGTTTCTTGAATCTATCTATAATCCCCATCACCATTGCCACTGCGGTGGTTCAGAACTACTGCCACTGCGGTGGTCCATCTCTTGCTGGGACATCTGCACCTTTCCTCCATCAGCCTTGTCACCATGAGGTCCACCTAACTTACAACCCACAGTAGACTTGCCCCTCGCAAGCTTAAAATCCTCTAGTGTTTCTGCACCTCGACAGATAAAGTGCAAAATGGTCTCAAGCTAAATTCTAGCCTTAAATCTCTGCTACTTTCTGCCTCTCTCTAGTCTTGTCTCTAAGAATTCCCTGTCTTACACTTTGCTCTCCAGCAAAATGCAACAGCTTGGAGTTCTACGTATGGACATATCACTTCTTTGCATTTACTGTCTACTTTGCCTCAAGTCACTTCTCACTCTTCTTCCCTGGCTTGCTCCTAGTTTTCCTTTAGTCAACACAGTGTGTTCCCTTCTCTAAGTCTGTTCTAAGTCTGTCCCTTCCTGAGTCTTGTTCCCGCCCCACCCCAACTATCCTCAGCCTTGTCAATACCCTGTGCATAATCCAATCATTGCATGAACTCCATCATTATCCAATTTGTGTTTACACGAGCTATACAGCCCCCTTGATAGCTGTTTGCAACCTATTTTCCTCAACTAAATTCAGACTTCTTTGAGTAAGTATTTGGTACAGAACTGAGAAAATATTTGTGCCACTGCTGATAATTGAGTCAGGAAGCCATAGGATGCTTTTATATGTTAACCTTTAATTTTAACCTTTCATTTCTTCTGAGGAACAGCAATTGAGTCACAGATATACAAGTATCTTTATTTTATCTTCTCTCCCAACACCCATACTTTATATATATTCTACCCCCCAAAAGAAGCTAAAATTTAAAAAGACGAAATTATTGGCTTGCATGGAAGTATCGTAGTGTAAAAATGTCATGAGAATCTGTTTTCCAAATTTCCAGATCAGCCCTCTTACTATGTTATGACATTGTTTCTCTGTGATTTTTAAACATTTAAAGGTATATTTTATATATCACTTTTATTCAGTCACCTACCTAAAATCATGGATTTCCCAGGGTGGCAAGTTATGACAGAGAAAGGCTTTTTAAAGCTTTATTTATCCACATCTCAGATATATATTTTTTTCGAGTCAAGAAGTAGCACACTGAGCTTTTCTGTCCCCAAAAATACTACACATGCTATTTTCTCAGGAAGAAGAGTAAGGTTTATTTTTTGTTAATGAAATGCCAAACAAGCCTAGCCAACTTGCCAGGCAGAATTAAATTGGAGCATCTTTGGCAGTAGGTTGCGCGGCTCCATCCATGCAAGTGTTTTGTGAAAATGTAGCTTAAGCATTTTTTAAAAATTGGCCAGATTCTTTTTAGGATAAAGTTGGGACATTCAGAAATTTGGGCAGTACACACAATGTGATAAACATTTCCAAGTCTGGTTAAATAAGCCCCATTATGATCTTGCTCATTTAATTCAGGCCTCTTCTTCCACACTCATCACAAAACTTTAGCCCTTGGCCAGTGTGAGTATGAATGTAGTGACTAAGTTCAGATTTAAAAACATTGTTTGTAAAGTCATTCTAATTTTAATTTATATCCTCTCTACCTATGTTTTACCATACTGTTTGTTCACAGTCTCTTTTTTTCCTCCTAATATGAGAGAGAGCATAAACACACATCTTAAGAAATCCCTTAGGCTAGCCTCCAACAAAGAGTGGTTCCCAAAAAGTACACAGCAAAATGAAAAGCAGATATATAGGCATATTCCATTTTTAAAGTACATTTTTCAAGTTTTGTTAACATATTGGCGTGTGGCAAACTTTTTCTGTACCAAGCCAGTCAGTGAATATTTTAGCTTTGGTGTGGAATATGGTTTCTGTTATGAATACTCATCTCTTCTGTTGTAGTTCAAAAGCAGCCAGAGACAATCCATGAGCAATTGAGTGTGACTGTGTTCCAATAAAACTTTATTTACACAAACAGGTAGCAGCCTGGGTTTGGCCCACCAGCCGTTGTTTGCTAGCTCCCCACGTAGCTTCACATTACTCCCTATGACTTTCGTTAGTAACTCTTTGGTTTTGATTTTTAACATCATGGAAATAAAGATGTTACTGCTTTATTTCCATCATGAGTAAAATTTTAGGTTATATTACAGATGAACACATGGATTTTTTGGAGGTTAGATAAGATTGGTCATCTTTATGATTTTCTCCCTATTTGAAATTGTTGCTCGCACAGTTGTAAGTTTCTTGAGGGGAGAGAATAGATGATAATTCATCTTATGCTCTCACTGTGACCAAGTGCATGGTTCATGGCACAGGTCATATTTTCAAATGAATGAATGACCAGGGCCCTGCATGCTAACTATAGTCCGTTGGATCACCTTGTAGACAAAATGTAAGACCCAAACTTTTAGTCTCTTGGCTCTTTGTGCACTGTTGTTTCAAAAGATCCCAGGTGAGGTGCCCTGATAAAGGGCTAATGAATCCTGCCATCAGTGGTGGTGAAAGTAGGATGTGCTCTCACCTGAGCTCATATTCTGAAACAGCCACCTGTGAGATTTTCATGGTGAGCATGTATGGATAAAAACCTATCCATGATGAGGAGAGGGGTACAATGTTTACTTCTAGTGCTTCAGATCTGTCGAGTTGAAAACAAAAAGGAAAATCCTTTTTGCAGTGAATGTGAACTGAGAGCACAATGGATTTACCAATATTTTCTGTTCCTTAGATTTGAGGTTAACATGGGCATAATGTCCTGGATGAAGCTTTGGAAGTACTTGTGAAGGGTAAGTGGCCATAGGCCAGAAAAGGTGCTATTTCCATCAATTAAAAACTATTTATTTTATAAAATGATGCGACCAACAGAAATTAGTAGACTTGATGACAAGAGACTTGTAATTACACTCAGTGTCCCCCAAATAGGTGCTGTGACTTATATTTCCTTTGTTTCTTTAAAAATTAATGATAAAAATAATAGTAGCCATACTGAAATTTAAAGATTGAAAAGGAACTCCCTCCTTCTTCCTGTTCCTCCCTCCCTAATTAAACTTTTCTTCCCAGATAGAATAATTAATAGATTCATTTTTGTCTTTTTATACTTTTTCTATAGGTATGTTTGTCTATGTGTGTGTATAAAAACCTAAGTGGGACCATACTATATTTAATGTTCTACAGGTTGCTTTCTCAGTTAATATATATAATGTATCATTCCATAGCAGCAAATGTAAACCTCCTCATCCTATTTATGACTGTACTGCCTTTTTTTGTAACCACTTTGTACATTTCTCCCCTCCCCCGTTAACCACCATGGACCTTGCTGTGCTTACAGCAGCATTCTAAACATGCTGGTAGTAGTTAATTAGGAGATGAAAACAGCCCTTTTTCCCATGGTGGGCAACTGAATATCTACTTTTATTAATCTAGTTTTACTTTTAAGTGGTTTATGAATGATTGATGACATATGTGAATTTTATAGCCCTCTGCCAAATGTGCCCTCAGTTCTTACAGCGCTATATTTTTGTATAACTGTGTGTGCTTATAATTATACGACCATAAGAGCCCATGCCCACACAGGCATGTGCATGCACGCATGCAGATTTATTTATTTCAAGAGGACAATTCAGATGGCCAAGCTCAGAAGTGGAGATCAAGATCATTCTGACATGTCTCTGCCTTTTGTGACAATGACATTTTACAGATATAGAGGGCACATGCTGAGCTTTCGGAATATTCTACCATCCTACAGGAATCGTTACATGCTTTTAGCTGTATTAACAAGAGCATCTTTATCTTCATATGTGAAGAAACCTTCATACTTTACTATTCAGAGACAGTTATTTTTAAAATTTCAGAATTTGCTCGCGGCCTTACTCTCTGCAAGATCTTCCCGTGTATTCCAACTGTGTCAAACTATGACAAAAACAGAAGCAAACAAGAGTAGAGTATACATGTCACTCATGCTGGCTGAGAAATAAGCTGAGAGAGCAAGAATCAGATAATGGAGGAATAAATGTATCATCATTTGAAAAAACTCATCTCTTGCAAGCTATATATAACTCTTCCATTGTAAACTAAGACTATTAATAGTAATGATCATAATAACACCTTACACTTGTCTAGTGCCATATAACTTACGAAGTCTTACAAAAGCTTCCTCAGCTTCTAATTCATTTCATCTTTTTGACAGTCTCATCAATTAGTCAGCACAGAGCTTATTATTTCTTCCCTAGTCCCCATTCCTGCAGTTACTTCCTGCTGCTCTCTCCAAATGTGGTGCGTCAGGTCAGAGATGTAGAATTCCCCGCCTGGAACACTACCCAAAAAGCATTATGTTTGGCCAACGTGCTTGGTGATATGTTATAATGGGGAAATTTGTGCTGTGGCTAACCTCCCCTTAGAGGGAATACAAATTATTAACATGCTTAGGTCAGATAACTTAGAACTATTGAGGTCATGCTACTTTTTTGAAATAGAGACACATGACAGTATTAAAAATGGATAGCATGAATTAATTCCAAAGATTTATTCTCAGTTATAGCATAGAGTCATTTGGATTCTATCCATTTCTCTAGTAAATTAGCCACTGATAATCATAATTATGACCCTTAGGTACGATAAGACAATGAAATGCCTCTTGAATTATTAAGAAGTATTAATTTATGTCTACTCTGTATGTAGTTTCTGGTATTTTACTGCATCACCATTCCCTGATAATTGGTCACCTGTTATATATATGATATATACATAAGATTAAATTTTATTCATGGTAATATTTCTTTAGAAGAAAGCCTTCTTGCCAGTGTTGAATAAATATGATTAGATTATATGTGGATTTTCCCCAGATTTCTGTTTGATGTCTGTGATCTTGACTTGCTCATTAGCTGTAGGCCATTATTTAAGAAAAATAATGCTGAGCATCTGTATGATGCTTTTTTCTTTTTTATGAGCCAGTGCTTTCATTGACATATACATTATCTGGTTTCTTATATAAGCCCCCTACAGGCATTATTACCAGCATTTTATAAAATAAGCCTCAGGGAGTATACGTGGCTTGCTCAAAGCCACATAGCTAATAAGTGGCAGAGAAGAGACACAATTCCATCTGTCCGAGTCAAGAACTTTTTCCACCAAGCCACAGCCATTGCAGAAACTAGTCTCTCAGCATTTATGTCAGGGGGTGTCAGCCAGCCTTGGGCCTCTCCACATGTAGGCCCATCTGGCAGAGTTTCTTTCTTAAGCTTGTCAAAGCAGGTAATATCAACTCACAGATCAGAGATTCAGAAAACTTGTTGTAATCCTGATTACCAGTGCAAAGGGATAATGTTCCCAGTAATACATTGCATTCCTTCCACATGGAGAGAAGCACATAACATAGGTCACGTTGTAGAGAGATGGCTTTATTTATTCTACAGTACAGCCAAGACCATGATAGGGTAGGGCCCTTTGTTGAACTCCTGAGCTCAAGCAATCCTCCCACCTTGGCCTCCCGGAGTGCTAGGATTACAGGTGTGAGGGTAGGACCCTTACTAATAGCTTTTTACCATATATGAGAATAGCAAGCTTTGAAAGAAAATATAGGTACAGGCATTCTCCATTTACCTTGGATACAAAACATGTTTTCTGCCTTTGTCTGATGAAAAGAACAGGCAGTGCCCATTGTAAAGGAGACAGTGTGAAATAAGAGAGAACTCTGAATGCAAGGCCCTAGCTCTGCTCCCTCCCCCCCATTCTAATCAGAAACCTGTTTTTAGATAAGCTGCCCTGTTATGAACAAGTGACATAGAGAACAGGGTCACATGAACAGTGGCAGGAGAAGGTGAGGGACCTCTGTGAGGAAGACAGACCTTTTCTATTAATAATTATCTGCAAGGAACAAACAGTGCCTGGAAGGTAGGGCTGGTCCAGCGAAATCTAAAATGTTAGGGCGGGTCTCTACTTTTTTTAGTGAGATATTGCTGATACTGAATGCACATTTCCAACTAGAAGAAAGCTGGTAACAAAGGGATCCTATGCCCATCCATGCTGGAATATTAAAGAGAAATGTCTCCTGTTTTTATTAAGCCACTTATAATTATTTCTGACATGTCAAATGTGCTACGGATAGACAGAATAGAAGGAGATTGGGGGGAAAAGAATTTTTAATGGGATGTCAGTCTTCAAAGATTTGAATGAGTGGCCCCAGAAATGATCATTCTTTTAAGTATGACACTGCCACTTAATAAAGCAAAAGAGAAAATATTGAAAAGAATTCTGTCAACATTCTGGGATGACTGTAATTTTGAACAATCAGGCATAATGGTGAGATCAAGCTTGATGTCTTGCTATAGCACTTGTAATTCTGTGAAATTATGAAAGTTGTGAACAAAAGGGAAGGAGCAATTCGAAGTAGTGGTGTGGGGGTGGGGAGACAGAGCTGGCGATTCCAGTTCTGTCCCCTCTGACCTTGCTGATATGCAAATTGTGTCATTATGTAAAAAATAGCAGAGGTGAAACAATCAAGGTTTCCTAAGAAAAGACTTTCCAGTTTCACCACAGAAAAGATAAGTTTTGCATTTGGAACAGTCTGAGAGCATCTGAAGTGTTGTCTCATTAAAATTTATGATCATCAGAATTAATTCACATTCATTTCATTAAAAATCAAATCACCTGGGTGGAATTTGTGTGTGGAATCATAAAAAAAGGATAATGAGAAATGACAGCAGGTCTGTGGAGTGGCCAGTGAGGGACACTGGGTAGATCTGATCTACTTCTTCTTCTATTTTTTTTAGCTTTCCATGTTATGTTTGGAAATTATTTGTTGAAATTTATATATGATATGAAATAAATAGAATTCTTTTAAAAATAACTCAGGGTAAAGGATTTAAATGGCCTTAAATAAGACCTAAACGTGGCAATAGGAAAAAAAATGAAACTGCCACATGAAAATAAGAATTTTGTATTTTGTTCAGAAAACCTGAAAAATGTTGACAAAAAAATAGAAAATTTAAAAAAATAGCACTAAGTTGACACTATTTGACAAAAATAAAATAGAAAGTTAAAGAGAGAAAACCTGCAAGCACACTGGATGGGGGCCTGGGGAGGGAGTCATGAAGTAGCAGCAGTAGCAGCAACGGCTGCGAATGTTTGTTGAAAACGATGAAGAAAATGTGCCTGGCACTGCGCTCGAGTGACATGAAGATGCTGTCACGCAGGAAGCCTGCGCACCAGGTAACTTCCTACATAGTTACTGCAACCGTCCGTTTCCTTTGCCAGGGTGGCTCAGTCATCTGAAAGAAGCAACCAGATTGCATTGCATAGATCCTCACGGTCCTCGTTCTCTGTGTCCTGTTGGTCGTCTGTGTAGATGATTCAGTCGAGTTATGTTGACATCTCTTGCCTGCAGAAGTGGTTTGTGTCTTTCCTGGCATTTCCACTCAGAAATAAAAGACTGCACGTTCACTTGAAATAACACTTCACCTTCTTCTACCTCAACGGGTTCTAATCCTAGGGCTACTACTCACTCGAGACTTTAGGCAGATGACTGTCGTTGAGACAACTGGAGGCTGATGATTGCTGAGACCTCGTTTCAGAATGCAGAGTCTCTGGTCTGTGAGTTTATGAGTCTGTGAGGTCTGATGAGAGACCTGAAGGTTGACGGTGGGGAGCTGGTATGGGTGCAATTGTAGAACTGAAGTTGAGACTCCGTGGGCTTTGTCTCATCACGTCCCTTTTCTATCTCCCCTCTTCATCCCACTGGCTCCTTCCTTCAAGACTTAAATTCTTGACTAAGGCACTAGTCTGTACACCAAGACTTCCTGACCCTCAGGATTGCCTAAGAATATCTGGTCTCTGGGGTCCTGGGAAAGGAGGCAGAGGAGCCTGTCCTCACTGCCAGCCCCCTGGGGACCAGCAAATGGTTCTCTAGTCCTGTGGTACCCAGACGGCACAAAATAATTCAGCGTACTCTGGGAATGTCCAGGCAAAAGTGTGAGATTTACCTAGATTAGTTTCTGGATGTTGGGGTTTTTCGTGCTTTCTCTGGCAATGGTATCCATTTTAGAACTGAAGGGAAAAGGTTTCATTTCATTCCATTTCCTTTGTATAGCATTTATGGACGCAAGTGGGCATCCAGTGAGTCATTTTTGCCTAGTACTTGCGTTTTACTCTTTCCTTGGGATGGACATTTCTATTTTAGGCTCATAAGCAGCCATTTCTAAGTTGCCTATTTGGCCTCAAAGAGTTTGGACTTAAGTACGAGCCTAAGCCTTTAGAATATTGAGGAGGGGGGCAAAGAAAGAAACCGACAAAGTGAATGAATATATGGATGGTTTCACGATTGTTGAATTGCACAATGGTTAAAATCAACTGCCGTCAAGGTCAATTTGACTAAGTAACTGTATAGAAATACGGGTTAGGATACAAAAAACAAACAATTCAGCAAGCAATCCTTTTATGTTATTTAGAACTTTGCCATGTAGAAACAGCTGCTTCTGGCTTAGCAGGTGAGTGTCTGACAATATTGTTAGCTCCGATGACTTTTTTAGGGGATTCTGTCATATTCTATGATTTGCCTATGGTCTCAAAATAGAGAGTGAAATAAAACTATTGGTGAAGATATGTTTTGGTGAATTGTTTTTGTTTGTTTTTTAGAGACTGGGTCTCACTTTGTCACCTAAGCTGGACTGCATGATCATTGCTCACGGCAGCCTCAAACTCCTGGGTTCAAGCCACCCCTGCCTCAGCCTCCTGTAGCTGGGCCTACAGGTGTGCTCCACCACACCCAGCAAATTTGCTAATTTTTTTGTAGAGATGGGGTCTGTCTATGTTGCTCAGTCTGGTCTCAAACTCCTGGCCTCAAGGGATCCTCCCACCTCAGTTTCCCAAAGTGCTGGGATTACAGGCATGAGCCACAGCACCTGGCCTCAATGAATTTTTAAAGCCAAATTGTCCCTGTGCTGAAAGCCAAATTGTCCTGTGACCACAACCCATTTTCCTCAAATCTGTATTTATACTTTCACACCCAAATGACAATCTTTAATTGTTAGTGCTTAATTGCTGCTGGAAACTAGTGTATATAAATTAAACATAATTGTAACAATAGCTTATATTTGTTGAGTGCTTGCTATGTGCCATGGGTTAAGAATTTTACAGGGATTACTTTATTTAATTGTCACAACCCTAAGCAGTAGTACTATTATTATTCCCATTTAATAGACAAGGGTACTAAGTTATAGAAAGATAAAAATAACTTGTCCAACTTGCAACAGGTACCGTTATGATTGGGCCTCAGGAGGCTGTTTCCATAAGGCTACATTTAGTTCTATGCTCTACTCAGAGGCTCTATTTAGTCATTGCTATTCTCACAAGTCCTTTCTTATCTGATTTTATTTTAAACGCTCATTTATGAGCATCTAAAAATTTAAGTTTTAAAGGCATAGTGGTATCCAGAAATGATGATCAGGGAGAATAAATTTTGCTCCAAAATACATCTGACTTATTCTGAAAGACGAAGACACTGGTTCGAACATGGAAGAAAATGCCTATGAGTGAGAAGTAGGACAATGAGCCTATATGACAGAATAGTTCATAGAGTGAAGCTCGAGTTCCAGGCATATTAATTCCACTCGTATGGAAAGGAAAGAGCCAATGTAAAAACAGCACCTTTTAATTTAAATGCTCTGCATAATGATATACCAGTTTCATTACCGTGGCTCAGCCAAGCACTTTGCTGTGCAACGTAAGAGTAGAGGCAGATTGCCTAGATTCAGATCCACCTCTGCCACTTACTATGTGATCCAGAGCAATCTGCTTCCTGTCTCTGCGATTTGGTTTCCTCATCCGTAAAATGAGCTAATAATACTTACCTTATAGGGTTGTCGTGGGATTGAGTTCATGTACACAAGGCATTGAGAACAGGGCACAAAGTTAAGTACCATAAGGGTGTTTGCTATCTCATTATCATCATCATCATCACCATCATCATCAGAGATGATTTAAACACGTGTGGCAAAGATGTTGACAGTAGTTTTATATTTAGAAATCCTCAGGGCTTTCATATAGGAAAAGAAGATATTAAGATTCAACTTTCCTTAGATAAACTTTGCTAAATAAGGCAATTCTTAGATAACTTAGGTTTCTTTTGTTTTATAATTTGAGTTGTAATTTAAAAACTTATCAACCCATATGTTGTCATGGGTTGTCTGCAGTGGGAATTTTGCAGCCAGCGAAAGGGGATTTGATATTAACGTATAGATTGCACACAATTATCTAACTGAAACAGACTGAACATTTATCTTGAAAATCTGAAGCTAGAACTGGCAAACACATGAAATACTCCTGCCTCCAAGTGATTGGGGAAACTGGGGTTTGGAGTTTGACCTAAATAATTTATTTGGGGGTGATACTGGTGGAAGCAAGTATACCTTGTAGATCATAGTTCTGATAGATTCCCATACATTTAAATCTTCACTTCTCTCTTCAATGAATTGAAATGGATGCTCTCTGAAGCCCTTTAAGGCATTCACAAGGGAGAGACAGGTTTTGTTCCTTTAAGGCAATTTGGTCCAATTCTGCCAGCTCACCTATGGGGAAGGCTGGCATAATGCCAAAGGTAGTTAGCGTTGTATCTATTATGTCACAGGGTGGAGTGTGTTTGGGTGGATGTAGGGGAAAGCCTATAATTTCACAGCTGTTTAGTATAACATTTCTGCTAAGCCTTTTTTTTTTATTCTAAAAATTAGTAAAAGAATCTTAATGTTCAAGAAAATTCGAGGGCACTATACGTTCACCAGAATAGGATACGTACGCAGTTGTTCCTGAATCTTGAACCATAAGAAGAGTATAAATATTTCCTCTAAAATATTGATTACCTTCTGACCCATTATTTTTTGTAAGAGCAAAATCATATTTTCAATTATTTAAACCCCAAGGAATTTTCTCCATAAATATAAGATTAGAGTTGTGAGTTTAACCCAGACCAGTTAGGAAAAAGTATTGCATTTAACATCGTGCACCTACTGTCTTGTTTGAGAAGAATGACTTGGATTAAACCAAATGTTGACTTATCAACTATTGCAATGCCCACATGCATCATCTCATGTAAAGTATAATCATTCTTCCTTCTCATTCTTATAGGTCCTTTGAATTCCATTTTAAGTGACTACCATGTGAATAGATTAGAACAACTGTCGTGTCATGCTTTTTTGTCGTCATGGGTCATTTTCATCAAATGTTTAGTAATTTCACTGCACTCGTGTAATTAGGTGAAGAAGCTCCACCTGAGCATCCATGGGTCAGCTATGTGGACTCTAGCTGCCAAAGGCGCTTCTCCTTCTGAACAGAGCGCTTTGCTCAGCCAGTGTAGACATGGCCTGATAAACAATGGAACCTCTCCCTTGAGAACTGGAGTTTGGATTGATCTAATTCTTTAACTCAAAAATGTGCACAGGTTTGATGAGTAGTTAAAATGTCTGCATTTTAGTCAAATGGGAGCTTAAATTGACATTAATGTGATGAATGGAGTAATTTATAATGAACTTGAAAGGCGGTAGTACTCACTGTTGCAAAAGCTAATCAAGGGACTATCAAATCAAAGTTTTTGCATAGGCTTAAATATCTGTGGCAGGGAGGTTGTTCTTACAGGTTTATATCTGTCAGGTCTTAACACTAAACCTGTCAGAGTGCAACATGGCCCTGTCACTTTTAACCAAGATGTCATGTATATTGTGGGAAACAACCTGCTTTGTGTTTTCTTCCCTAGGATTTTACTGGGAAAGGCAAATGTAAAAGGAAGTGGGGTTTTTTTTGTTTTTTTTTTTTTAACACTGTATTTTTATTTTGCAGATTCTCAAGCTGATGGAGTGAGTGATGGAGTGGGTTGCCAACGGTAGTTACTCCACTCAGCGCAGAATGGCTGCAGGGAATATATTCAGACATCCCCAAAGAAGTCTGCCCAGGGTGAAACAAATACCTTTCAGGTTTAAATCAGGTGTGTGAAGAATGCCGGAAACATGACTTTTTGGGGTGGTTTTTTTTTTTTTTTTTTGTATTTTTGTTTGTCAAGGAAAGTGGGAAGGCTGGTGGTTCTTGCCTGTTCTTCCAACTCTTTTAATGCTGTAAAATACATCCAAAATTTAACCCACTCTTTCTCCTAGGATTTGCTGTACTCTACTCTACTCCATTGAAGGTCCTTTCACTCATCAAAACTTTAGATTTTAAAAGCATGATTGTGTGTTTTTTTTTTTAATATATTCAAAAAGGTCTTGATTTAGGAAATACTTTGCAATTGTGAATTGAACTTGGGTAGGCTTTACCATTTGTCTATCTCCTTAGAAAAATAGCTGCTATTTGTAATACATGAGTTAGCTGCCAGAAACCTAAAAAAAATTAACTTTGAAAATAGATGTTCGGATTGCCTTTAAATAGTTGTTAAATGGCTCTGAAAAATCAAGTAAAGTTAACATTCTTAGAAAATAAAAACCACATTTCCTTACAGGATGAAGTTGTGCTTAATAGCCTATGCTTAATTCATTCAGAAACTACACGATTTTTGTTGCTATATTTTGTTAGAAAGGAAGGAGAGGCTGTTTCTACAGGTGTCTTCAAAAAATCGATACTGAGCCACGGATTATTGGATCCCACAGAAGCATGGAGACTTGGCAGTGAAATTCTTCCAAAGGTGAGTAGGGGCATTGATTTTCCTTCTCATGCCTGAAGAAATATGACACAATGAATGGAGGCTAAATTTAGACTGGAAACAAGTCTGATTTGAAACTATATTTTTAAAAAATTAAGGATCATTTTTTCAAACAAATAAATGAGGAAATGTAATAAGAATTTGAGCACCTAAAATTTTCTTATTTTATTTTTCTTAGATTCACTTCTTTTCTTTATTCTCTTGGGGTACTTTTGGGGAAAATAAAAACAACAAAAAACTCGACTCTTTGACCGATGTTTTATCTGTAATTCAGATCCAATGATTTCCTTGAAGAATACTTGCGTTATACAATAATACAATCTGTCTCTTAAATGTATAACCAAGAATGCAATAACTCTGCAGTTTCTAAGAAAAAGCATATTATTTATACAATCACACTATAAATGTGAGCTTATCACGAAGCTTCCTTATTTAAGCTGTGTATTTTTCCGGCTAATTTGTGCTATAAGTTTTAGACACATGCTTGCTTGTTTATTTATTTTATAGTTTCTTCTAGATTTCTCAAAGTTGAAAAACTATACATAACACACTGGTTGTTTTACTGCATTGCTTAGCATTCCATCCGTGCAGGCAGACGGTGTTCCTAGGTTTGGAAATATAAATCCCGTGGGAAGTCAGCTGAAGAACATTTTATGCATCGCTCATCCTATTATGAGCCCTGTGCTATTCCATCTCTCTACAAGGTAAGAGATTTATTGCAAGTTGGCTTCCAGAAGACGAAAATGTTGTATGCTAATGGATCTTGCTTCAAAGTGCATGCTTTTGGAACTCATATAGAAATTGTTTTATAAGCAAAAGAATAATTGGAACAATTTGAGTTACTTACACACACGTGCACATCTGTCCCCAGGTGGCATTTGGTTGTTCTATCCTGGGACCCACATTCTACAGTATTGTCTTCCTCATGTGGAGTGAGGTGGCAAATTGGTCATTTTTATAATGAATTTGAGCAGAATAGATGATTAAGGAAGATAATTCAGGCCTCAAAGTAGAAAATTGCCAAATTACTACCTTGCTTTGTCTGGAGATAGACATAATTTGAGTTTTAGTAATTTGTGGAATCAAAAATTGATTTATAAGAAAGTTAAAATATAAAATGCTAGCCAGTTCACAGCAATGTATATAATGACCTTAGTATTGACTTTTTTTTTTTTTCCCCTTTTGCTGGCCAGTACAAAATTCTTATTCTTTTTTCCTTATCCTGAATTTTCAGATTGGCTGAAACAACAACAACAGAAATTAGTTACAGTTTGTATTCTTACTTTGGATCACCTAGTTAATATCCTGACTCTGATTACACCCAAAGACAGTGTTCTTATAAAAAGATACTCTATTAGAAGGATGCTAATGCATTATCAATAAAATCACAGGGAAAATGAAACATTTTGGATATCACATCTGATGAGGTAAGATTTTATCATGTCCCATAAGATGAGATTAAATTTGATTTTATTTATCACATTTTAGCCTCAAGAAAGTTGACATTTATCAATTTGATACAGAAACCTATAATACAAAGCTTCTTATACACTGTCTAAACTGTGACCAATTTGAGACATTTAAAGTCAAGCTATTTAATGACTTTTATTTATGTATAAATCACATTATTTTTACTGGTTTTCCATACTTTTCAGCTTAGAAAGCTGTAATTCAGGATATCAGGCAATATATTTAAATAAAACATAAATCTTGTACATAATTTTGGGGGGAAGGCATGCTATTCTCTAACCCTTGAAGTTTAACTTTCGATGTGTGAATTCTTAAATGTGCATAAACCAAAGACAATGGCATACATACTTTGACATGTTCTAAAGTTAAAAGGGGAAAGAGGGATTTTGTGGTAAGTGTCAGCCTTGTGTCTACTGTTAATAATAATAATAAAATGTCTGCATGAGAAGAAAAAAAGTACAAAAGACAATGGTGAGATGATGGAGAAGCTGCTCTAAGTAAAGTTCCAGGTACCTGTCGATACAATATGAGGATACTCATATCTCTAGCTCTCTATATTTACTACATATACTATAATGTATTAAAATGAAGGTACTTTCTTTGTAGTCCAAAAATAGTGAGTTCAATACTTTGACCCTATATGTTTATCTTAAAATCTCTCCCAATACATAAAACATATTTTATCCACATCTGAGCAATGTGGTGATGTGGCCATTCTCCCTTTGGGTTAAGCATTTCACATGACTTCTCTTAAAATGTTACAAGGAAGAATATCTAGTAGATAATTTGCGATTTGTAAAATACTACGAATTTCCAAGAAGTGGCAGTTAATTGAAGCATAATTACCTCCAGTGTGAAAATAGTCTGGGATGCCAACTTTGCTGACACAGTGTCTTTTGGATCTTATCATTTTCTTTGCTTGCTTTGTTGTCATCCTTCTGGTTCTTTCTGGATCCATCTCTCTGTCATTTCCATTTGACTCCTCTATTGTATTCCAGTTGGCAGTTAAAGAACAGAAACAGAGCAATAAGACTGCATGGCTGCATTTTCCCAGTGCCACCAACTGGGAGTTAAGCTGACTAACATTTTGAAAGCCCAGCCCATTTCGTTCACAGCAGGATGGCAGGTAAAAGCGTTTCTGTATTAAAGAACACACTTTGTCTCTTCAGGTTCTTAGTCTGATTTCTCTTGTTTGCCAGTTGGGGGGAGAAATGAAAGTAGGCTGGGGATCAAATGCCTGGGGTATTTAATCAAATGCCCAGCAACTCCTGATTATAGGATGCAGAAATTTCACTTTCGAGGATTAACTGTGGTGGATTTTTCAACCCAAATAGGTGTACCCTTCTAGCTAGTAAGAAATGGGACTACTTCCTACCACTACCTAAATGGAATGTAGTAGAAGAATGCCAAATAGCTTTAATAATAACTCCTGGGTTATTAAAAATTAGATATGTGGGGTAAAAATTCCCATTATATAGACATATTTGGGGAGTATTTCAACCAGAACATTTTCCCTGTCATTGTTTGCTTCTGTTAGAACAAGACACTGAGACTTGCTTTCACAGTGTTCTGTTAATTTGATTACTGTTTATGGTAAGTACAAACCTCTTTATGTATTTTGCAAAAGTAACTTAATCAAGCAGATATCATAAAGCACATCACTATATTGATTCTTGATCTTTTGGCCTCTCACTCTGCCATGTTGACAGGTGCCTTGTTGTCTTTTCTGTGCAGATGAAAGCTTCAGGGGCAGAAAGAGTGAGGAAAGGCAATAACCCTTCTCTCTGAGCCGCAGCAGGCAGTGCAGTTGTCTTTGCAGAGGGGATTTCCTCTGGGAGTGGTAAAATTGGGATGAATACCATCAGTTTGTATCCATATGGAACTTATTTTTAAAGAAGCTTAGATCCCCATATAAAAGTCATCTTGGAAAGATGAATGCAATGTACATTTACGGTGGGAAGACTAAAGTTCTGAGAGATGTCAGATTATTGTGATAATAGCATAACTCATTTTTTGAATGAATCGAAATGTTTCTCAGCTGGGGCCTACATGGTCATATGTTCAAATAAATTTTACAAAGCCTCTTCTTTCAGTAGAGTGAGAGCCTGTATGTGTGCCATCTTGCCATCGAATATAACTCTGATTTGTTTTATTTTATATTCTATGAACATCCTATGGATATTTCTTATCAGATTGGATCAAAAGTTAACAGAGAATGTAGTAAAAAATAAAATAACTTTTTCAAAGTTTTAGCAAGAACGGCATGAATGATTAAATGCTAATGGATGTCCATGCCATGACTGTACCTAGAATCTTTTCAAGGGCATGGAGTCCCTTCTGTTTTAGCAGTTAGACAAATACTATAGCCAATCTGGCCTCAAGATGACAAAGACTTTCCATTTATAAAGGTCCTTTGGGTCCATGAAGAAATTTGGATACTCATTTATTTTCTAAAGAAAGGTTCACGATCAATAAGTTCAAAATATTTCAAAGTTACCATGTACTTCTCTGTTTGACTGTAGCAGCATTGCCCTGGATGTGGCCACATTCATTCAGACACTGGACCCAGCAGCCTCCATTGCACTCTAGTGTACTAAATAAATGGCCTCCTCATTGTCCAACAGTGTGAGGTCTTATGCTTGCTTGTGTTTTCTGATTTTTGAAACCCTTTCCAAAGATAGTCATGAATGAGTGCAAAATTTGGAGAGGTAGGGTATAAGGATGATTTTTTTGTGTGTTTCTTTTGCTAGTTTGTTAAATAAAAAATGTTAGAGAATAAAATGTCTTTTGTCTTTCAATCAAATAATTGCATAAAGTGTGAATTGCTATGTAATTGTCATGGTGAGAGAGAGGGAAGGAAATAGTCACCAAAGGGCAACTGTGTTTTATAGCTGCTGTGGTTTATAGAGACCCATTATGCTATTAATAAGCTTACAGCTATAAAGAAAGAGGCACCGTTTCTCTCTAACATGATATAAAGATAACAGACCCCTTGGACAGATTCATTTTTATATATGAAGATCAAGGGTCCATGATCCAGGTCAGATTCCTACATACACATATTTATATGTGCATACCCAAAGTTTTCAGCCAAGTAATAAAAATAGTAGAGGGGAGAGAACAAAAATTCCTAAGGGCCTACAGGTGTTGCCCTAATCAGGTAGCAAAGCAAGACCATTTTTAATTTGGCACTTTGGGTTTTAGCTTAGAAATTCACTCACATTTTGCATTTTGTTCCATTATATATCATGATTGCTTTATTATTTAAAAATGTTATAATAATAAGGGGCTCTAGCTTTCTTGCTGCAGGGTCTAGAGTATTGATGTGTGTGTGTGTGTGTGTGTGTGCGTGTATATGCGATAAGATGAAAATATTGCAGCTTAAGTGTAGTGCACAAATGTAGTGGTGAAACTGGAATTGCACTGAATGGTTCGAATTCCTTCTCTACCACTTACTGGCTATATAAACAGTTTCTAAACCTGCTTCTTCATCTATAAAGTGAGGAAAGTAAACCCCCATAGGGGGGCTGTAAAGATTCAATAGGATAATGATCGTCAAGCACAGTGCTTGAGTTATAGTAAGAGATGAATAAACGTTGGCAATGATCTTCAGTATTGCTATTATTTATCGCCTGTCTTTGCATAGACACACATACCCCATATACTCAGTTTTTCTATGTAATACATTATTGCTCAAAATGCGTTGCCTAATCGTGGGGAAAACTGAAAGGCAGTGCCTTCCTGAAGCATCGCCAGGTCTCATTGAGCAGGTGTATTCTCTTCTTATTCCCATCAATGCCCAGTGCCCTGCGTCTCTGCTTCCCTTCACTGCTAACACTGCCTTTCAAGGCAGGACCTGAAATTCATCCACACAAAGGTATAGATGACTGAGAACATTTGCGGTGCTGCCCTTATAAAGGTTACTGACCTCTTATCAAGGGTCAAACACTGAGCTGGAGATTGCAGGCATCTGGTAGCAGCTGGAGGACTTTGTCTGACAGTGTGATCTATCTATCCCTGGCCTTCTGGAGAGTTCCCCAGAGAGGGAATGGTTAACTGGGCCAAGGGGTAAGGTTAGTTCTGCTGCTGAAGGTGCTTGCTGGGGCTCTCTGTGGGGTTTATCTGACATCCTCAAAGGCTGCCTTTCTCGCTAAGCCTGGGGCCATTTAGGAATGTCTGTCAGCTTTTCCATTTTTCCCCCCATTTGTGCCTATGGGTTTTGAATCTAGTTATGCCTTAGACACAAGCTGTAACCCTTTGAACATTTTTTCCAAAAAGTCTTCTTTATTTTTGGCTATACACCAATTTTTTTCTACTTACATCCTATCCATATATTCATTCTTGGTTGCCTATTGTATTTCTTTCACAAAGGCCTGTATTCATGATTCAAAGTTTTTCACACATCAAGCTATTTTTCTGAGACTTTCTCCTGAAATATTCTTTCTTTAAAATGTAACTTGCTTCACCTGTATTTTCTATGCACGGATTTGGAGGACTGTATTCAAGTTTAAGGTTATGTCTTCATTAGCAATATATACCTGGAAAACCATTTAGTTTTTCAGCCTAAGTTTATCAGTGAGATGGGACTAGAAGGGTCTGCCCGTAGTGTTGTGAGAATCAAATTAAATCAAAGTGTTTTGCAAACTCAAAAGTGGTGCAGAGCTTTTTTGGTCCTCTTTTTACCCATTACAACTACCCCCTCATGTAATTTTCTTCTTCGAAGAGCAGGCATGACGAGACACATTATGTTTAGTAATTTGTGCAAGATTACAGGGTTATCTCTCTTTGACATTTACCCCCATTACCTGAAATAGCCATTCTATGCATTCCTATGATATGGCTGTCCATGATCTTCTCCCAGCGTCATATCGTTTAATGCAGAGACAGCCCAGAGGAGAATATTCTCAGATGTAAATATAAGAGGAGAAATGTCACCTGGTGAGCACAAGTGGCCTGTACTGATGGGCCACATCACAAACTATTTCTCCAAAGTCCAGACCATTCTTTAGAGCATCAGTGTACGGCACAGTCAGGCTGAGATGCTTCCAGGTCACTCAAATGTTTGAGATGAGATCATAGTTTCAGAATCCTCTACACAAATGAGAGAAAATAAAAGTTAGTGTTTATCGAGGACCTACTATGCTTAAGACACTTTCAATAATAATAACTGCCCACTTTGGGTTTTTGCTAAACATTGAAGAGGCACTGAGCTACAGACGTGAACTCAAGTTATCTGGTCCTTAAACCACTCCATGACACGGGTATTATTATATCCATTTCACAGCTGAGGAAACTTGAGGGTTCTCTGATGCCAAAGCCAGTATGTACTGGCTTTATATGTACAGTATTTTCCCAAGGATCCTGGGATACAGATATCATTATGTGCATTTTGTAACTGAGGCCACTGGGACACAGTGTTTAAGTCACTCATCCACATGGCTCTATGAATCCCATCCGGGTTGGCCTGATCCTGCACACTACGCTGCACTGCCTTGCTGAGTGTTTCTTAGGAAGGATCTTTCTTTTTCTTTGTCTTTTAATTTACAATCTATTGTGGATTAATACTTTCACAAAATAGAATAAAATTGAATTACAGGAAAAATTTAAAGACATACAAAACACAAACTCAATTTTTTATTATTAGATTCAACAATCATGAAATTAGTATCACATTGAAATGCTTGCTCATACTTTCTGTGCCTATTTTGTGGTGAACTGGTAACAAGACTGTTTGACTCAGCACCGATCTATAAACAAGGCTTGGGGAGCATTGCTCTAGGACTTTGGAGTATAACCTAGCTGAAAATAAAACAATTTCCTCATTCATTAGCAAAAGTCATATAGCCATGGATTTAATTGCAGCATTTACCAGTGAGCCCTCACATACCTGGGTAGAAAATATACTAAAATACAACTAAAAGTTAAAAATCATTGCCTCTACATTTGTGGTTTTTGAAAATCTAACCAAAGTTAAATAATATGTATTAACAAGATACTCATAGGAATTAAATTAACTTTGTTTGGAATGCATATTTGAAAGACTACTGTCTCGTAATCTACGTGACCAAGAAATGCAGACCACTGTAAATTAGCTTATTTGATATAATAGAGATACCACAATATTGC